AGGAGATAGAGTAATGGACTGACCTGTATACTAGCCCATTAAACTTTCAGGACGACTAATGGACCGTTGGCATAACGCCGTGTCAGAGCGATATTACCATATATTTCACAATTAAAAACATTATAAGCGGACGATTAGCAAGCACTGCTGTAGTCACTCAAATCAATCAAAAGTTTACTATATTCACTGACCCATTGATATAACGATATACATATAAAGCACAAACTAACAACAAACAAAAGAAAATGATGAGACAAAGAAGAAAGAATGATATGGATGAATATAACCTAAACGCAGAGTTCGAGCCACCTGCGGCAAAAGATTTTCTGTATTCTTTAGTCCCCGCACAGAGGCAGATTCATTGGAACTTTGTGGAATGAAACTGGAAGTGCATTTTGAAAAAGCCTGGTACAAGGAATGGAAAGACGTGGTCAGAAACAGTTTTACCAAGCTTTACGGCACATGTTACATCGGGTTTAATGTAGCGTTTACGAAATTCAAATGGAACAACTGACCTGCACTGCAGACAATTTTCAGACGCAATCGAACTTCGCGAATAATCATATTTGAAATGCAAATGTACTTAAATAAACTGTACAGGCTCTAAGAAACACTTCACAGAGTCCTTTGGGGTTTCCAACGTAGTTTGATTTTTCAAAAAATAACTGTAATATCGCACTTGCGCGTGTATTGAATGCAGTTTCATCTCTAGTGACATCAAGAGAGTCCGTAATGAAAACCCTGTCTATCGGTCGGTTCTGCAGTAGAATAAGGAAGATGAGGCAGTTCGTTAATCATCTGCCGGAATGCTAGTTTAACGGGAAAAAATATTCTTTGGATTTACTATGTTAATAAGTAAGCCGTTTCTCTCTGAGCAGTCCTAAATAGAAGTGGGGCTGCGCAAGGAAACTTTGCGCGATGATCCATTGAAGCAATTACACACAGTACTAAATGATCATCGGCTACAACATAAGTGTCGAAATGCCATGATGCATCGATCCACTGCAGGTTCTCAAATACCACAGATGCGATAACTGCTTAAACAGAATTGTTTATGTGGAAAAGCTAGGAAACGGTGCAACATGCACGACTCTCCCACTCTCTGGAAGAGGCATAGTCTTAATGTTCATACACATTACACGAATGACTTCACGAAGAAAATCACAATTTAAGAATAATTATATTATAAACATGCTAAAAGAAAAGGAAATCTATATGACTCAGTATTTTGAAGAATAACACGAGTGCAGTCCATTAAATCATCATAAAATAAAAATTTATTAAACACTAAGTGTATTAGACAGATATTTCGATTCTACATCCATAACTGGTCATTGAATATATTCTTGATACATGATTAAGACGGCCAACCGAGAAACGTTTAGGAAAGTTTTACTAACAGTAAACATATTTCGTCACTGACAGCGAAACATCATGAGGCCAAAAAATAAATTATTTAATAACGGAAGTGGAGTGTTTTACAAGGGAATTCAGATAAAAATTCTTTTACGGAATAACATTGAATATCACATTTATTTTATGCACAAAAGGTCTAGATGAGGCTCGCAGAGTCTTCAGGCAGAGATATAAAATAAAACAGAATTCTATTTATGAGTATGATTCAAAACATTGCAGAATATGCATATAATAAATTCAATAGGCGGCTTCACAGCATAAAAGACATTTAGAATTTTGAATATTATATAATTATGTATTGACAGAATAACAATCGACTCTGTATGCCGTTTCTGACTGCTTATTTCTACACAGTTTGTAGCCACGTCTGAACTGAACATTTATAAATCAAAATTTGACATTTAAGGTGTTGTGAATTTTGAACAGTCCAATTTTTAAAGTTTAATGTACTGCAGGTATCATAATGCCTTTTTAATACGTTACCTTCAGAAGCTGATGCAATTCGTCCTTGTAGTCCGACTGAGTCAGAGAAGAGGCGTCGGAAGACGGTGTGACGACGGCAGACTTTGCGATGAGGAAAATCGGATTCGATTCGGTGCCAGCGCCGGTGTAGCTGCTGAGAGGCCGTTTGGAGAGAAGGATCTCTCCGCCGCTGACCAAAAGTATTTGCTCGGCAACGGGAACGCGAGTCACCTTCGAGAATTCGGTCTGCAGTGCTAAAACGGTCTCGGTCGACAGACTGACGTCGAAGTTGTGCATACGACCCCCATCTAGATGAAACACGTGCAGCATCTGATTGATCGTTCCCGGCCGACCATCGACTCTGAAAACAAACGAATACGTTAAGTTAGAGGTTGACGAGGTGTCGCGACGTCTAGTTCAAAAAATCGATCATTCACTTCGCGTCCATTCCAGGTCACTACCTCAAAATTTTACTTGTACCTCTTCGCGTTAAATGCCACTTTCTCTTTTGGCTAAAGCTGGTGCGCTTTTACATTTTCCCGTCAAAAGTGGCCAAGAACACTTTATTTCCAAAAAGTGAATTGATTAATGAATGAATGAACGTTGTAAATTTTAAATTAGCATGGCAGTGTTAAGCTCATATTAAATGCTAAAACACGATTGATTTACGACATTCGATGCTGGCGTAACGCAGCAAGGGACCACTAACACTGACGGTCGTTTCAGTTCAGTTCAATATCCATGACCGCTTCTCGTTTCGGGTCTTGGAACAGACGCGTCAGACAATTCTTCCGATGTTCCTGATCCTATCATGTCAGCGTTTCAGCTTCAGCAGAAGACAACCGGAGTCAAAAGCAGAGTCAACAAACCGTCGTAGCCGTGACTTTTCAATCTGAAGAAGCAGCGCATCTACACCAAGGGTATGGCGGATTTCTGTACTCTGGACTATGTCGGCCAGCGACTCGTCTTATAACGATCATTTCAGTGGTTTCTACCTGGGACTGATTTCAATCATGGCCCACTGCTCATGACTATAGGAAAGCATTGAGATCGACTTGAACACCGCGAACTTAGTCTTCAGACTCGGCAATGCCTTAGTCACAATGGTTTGGGGAAGTTCACACAGAGCATCACTGGCTACTCCAATCCGCCGGTTGATCTCTTCCTCAAATTTTCCATCATTAGTAAACAGAACCTCGAGATACTTGAACTTCTCCACCTGCTCCATTGTTTTTCGTTTATCTGAAGAGAGCAACAGGCAGAAAAACGAAAAAAACACTAGGCTTTTCGTTTGACACGTTCACATGCATGCCGACCACGTCGCACTCAGCTGTGGACCTTTCTAGAGAACGTTGCATATCAATTTCAAAACAAAATAAGGCAAAACAGCAACCTTCTCGACAACTCTGACAGTTATTTTATCTGGAAAAATTAGATATTGACACATTTAACGCCATAAAATCTTTAGGTAAGTCACAAATGGGAAAACAACGCATAAAATAGTCTTTAATTAGCGACATCTGA